AGCAGCGTTCCTCCATCCATGGCAGGGCAGCCTTGAAAGCTGCGATTCCTCTTTGCCAGGCTGCCTGCCCGGTTCCTTCAGCCTCCCTTTGACTCTCTTCGTCACTTGCCGCTGGGTCCTCCCAGTGTCTCCATGTCCTTTCCCCTAGCAGGGGGCAAGCGGAGCCGAGGCTGAGTGGAGCGGTACCCCCTCCTTTCCCCCCTGCCCCTCTCCGCGCCGCCTGGACTCGCCTCTGGCTTTTGTTTTTGCAACCGCCTGGCTGTGCCCACTCACTCAGGTTTCGGGTGAGGCCCGCCTACGCCAGCCCTCCCCCCTTCCGATCCTTTTGGTGTTTCTCCGCTACGTGCCGCACCCGACATTGGGCCGTGTCGAACTTCCCGGAGCTGGTTTTACCTAGAGCCCCGCCAGTCCGGGGCTCCGTGCACTGCCTCCGCCAGCGTGGATGCGGAGAGCCGTGCTTTGTTTCTGCAGAGGCAGCTACAAGCTCTGGATCGAGACCCCTGCCGGTTTGCGGCTCGCCGCTTGATAGCTACCGACGGGGGTGCCGATCTTCGTGGCGCCTTGGTGCAGATACAAAATTTTGTATCCGCTTAGGGCTCTAGTGCTAGCTCTCTTCCTGCAGCCAGGGCGTTAGTAAAGATGCTAAACCACACGGGACCCAGAGCAGCTCCCTGCGGAGCCCCACTACGGGCCACCCTGCACTCCGACACCGTCCCGTGACGAGTCACCCTTCCTTTGCGCCGGTTTAACCACGTCGTGGTGGTTCTGCCGCCTGTGTTTCTGCAGCTTACCTTGTACAATGTCACCAAAACTCCCTGTGAGCAGAGCACTTGGGTGGCCACCCCGGAGAGATGCAGGTGCCGCCCAGCGGATTAGCAGAGCGCCCACAGCCGGCAGCCTGTGTTACTACTGGCGGTGCACAGCCGCACATGCCTCGGTGCACAGAACAACGTTTATTCCGCACACGGATGGGCAAAATGAGAGGGAACGTTGCATGTCGTGTGGGACAGGGCCAGAGAGCTGGAAGCTGCCCAAGCCGCGGGGTGGTGGGAGGCTGCAGTGGGTGTGGGGGGCCCTGCTGCAAGGCTCCCACGCAGCCCATGGCCCCTCAACACTATGCGCATCGCACACGCGTATCCCTCCTCACCGGTTGCACGCATGTTCACACCCATGCACTTGTGCCCCAGCACGCGTGCCCAGTGGTCCCCAGCTTCTTGCAGATGTGTGGACTCGGGACAGGGACTGTGGGGGGAGCCCACGACTGGCCCTGTCAGGGCCCCGCCAGCAGCTCCAGCACCCAGGCACGAGGCAGCGCTAAAGGGAGCCTGTTTGTCCTCCGAACAGCACTCTGGCAGTGCCGGAGCCCTCCTGGAGCCTGGGGTGCCCTTCCCGCCCCCTGGCAGCGCCTGGCAGCCGGAGGAGACCCAGGGGGG